ACAAAAATATTTCAATGTTGTACTGGAATGAGTTTGCAGATCGAACAATGACACGTAAAAACTGAAGGACGGCATTGATGCATAAGATACACAGGCACAAATCTGGAAACTGAATTCCTGGGAACTATAGAAAACTAGACTGAGAAGCCCAAAATCAATTACTGCACTGTACTTGAAAAATCGTCGAGTCTTCACAGTTGCTATACATTGGGAGAAAAAAAAAGATCAAAGAACACAGACTCGAATAAACGACCTGGTTAGGGATCAAAGTGGCCTGTTTTATTTCGCTGAACAGTACTGTATAACACAACAGAGACTAGGATACTGTAATGAACTTGGGACACGCGAACAACTATGAGCGACATCTACTCGAGCAAAATCACTTCGTTCGCGGACCATGGAAATCAGCACAGCATATTTTAGTTCACATACTGTTCAGTGTTGTACTGAACTTGAAATTCTGTCAAGGCTGGATTGGAAGAAAAACCAGGTTATCCCCGTGCCGAATCTAACCTTGTACTCTTCAATTTTTCATTGCAATACCATTTTTCAAATGTCCCAGCGGAAGCTCCGTAGACAAAAAAAGCTGAGCAATCTTTTTTCTTTTCGAAATTTAATGATCCAGTAAACCAAATATTTCGAAACGTTTTTATATACAAGTTGAACCTCTGTAAGTGGAATTTCTTGGGACCAGGAAAAAAATTCGACTTAGGGAGGTTTTGATTTTTGCAGGTTTTGAATTAAGTAAAAAATAATTCTTGCTGTGAGGATTAGTAAAACAATTGAAGGAAATTTTAAATGAAGAGATTCTGTTCCTAAACTTGTCTCTTGATGAGTTTTTACTGTGCTGAACTTGGAGGCAGGGGTTCATTTGCTATATTTGTCTTTCAATTCCTTCCAAGATGCATCAAATTATTATTATTTTTTATCATTTTCTCTCTCATATTTCACAGAAATAATAGCCAGAAGGCCTCAGAAAATTTGACTTACAGAGGTTTTAGAAAAAAAGAATTCGAGTTAGGGAGGTTGTTAATGTATTGATTTCAAGGGAATTTGGACAGGGATTTGAAAAAAATTTGACTTAGGGAGGAATTTGAGTTACAGAGGTTCGGCTTATTGAGGTTCACTGTAATACATTATACTGTACCTTTTTGGATAATCATGAATTTTACTACCTATTTGAATTCCTGTTGCGTTGTTTGGCTTCATACTTGCTGACTTTGATATTGAAAGGTCATCCATCAAGCCGATTTTTTTTTCTGCTGGAAAGAAGAATCCCTTGCGAACCAGGGTTTTATTTCTTGAAAAAATAAGTGATCTGAATGAGGTACCTGTATAGAGATTTATTTCCTGCAGTTTTCAATGAAAAAATCAGGTTGGAAAAAAGGACTACAGATTTTATGATGCTATATCATGCTACTGGTAGAACCACTATCCGTGCTCAGAAAATCTGCATTCATTGAACTTGCAGAAAGTTTTTGATTTCAACACGAAATGTTTCCAATAAATGTTATTGCTTACTGTGCAGCATTCTGGTCAAATCAACATCCTCTGCTTTTATAATAATCTTATTTTTAAAAATTCCGCAATTTTCCATGTTAATCTAAATGCAGTATATACTGGAAAAACTATTTTGTCAGAAATTTTTGTCGGCAACCTGAAACCCTTTGCACCCTGATTTCCCCTGAGCCACTAAAGTTATAGCAACCCTAGACTTTTTTATAGATTGATCAAATATAAAACAAAGCAATCAGCCTGTGACATCTGGAGATTTCTTAAGGATAAATCTGTAAATTACAATTTTTTTTATCAAGTCTCAACAACGCAGCAGTTTTCTCATAAAGTCACATTCCAAAAATCGCGCACAGGCTCTCACTGATTTCAGTTTCTATATATTTTGTCACTGCTGAGGATTATTCTGTAATTAAATCGTTCGAATTTAATAATCGCTGATTAGCTGATGAAAAGTACAGTACATCTCAGACATACCGGCGCTCTTGAATACTCAAGAATTGCAGGAAGAGGTGATAAGATTAAAAGATGTCGTCGCTTTTCCCTAAAAATTTCTGAAAAGCAATCAATGTGGCCCCGAGATGCGGACGTAATTAGTGTTTGGACATTGTCCATATTCTGGAGAGTCCGTATGTAGGATCACCTTTTTTCATAGGTTCCAACCTGAACATATTTCACAAGTTCTCCTGTTCATCAAAAATTAAGGAGAAATTCCCTAAAAATGAAAACGTTTTTATAAACTTCAAGATGAAGAACATAACTGTGCAGAAATAAATCCCTCAGAATCTGATCATCAGAAGGAGCGCATGAAGGAAAAAGCAAGAACAGGTTTTGCTAAAATGTGCACATCTGCTGGGAAAAAAACTCTAAAAAAGAAGCAGAAAATTGATTTTTTTTTCTTCATCATGGGTTAGATTTAATTTTATAATGAAATTTATTTTTACTTTTTTGAATATACATAGCCGAAATTTTTGAAGAGATGTCAAATTTAATTTTTTTATACAATTTTTTTTCAGTTTATATGGAAATGTTGGAAAAGTGTCGATATCTCTTGACGTTGTTTGGATTTTGGGTTATATATTCTTCATGTTCAAGTGCCATTAAGTCGAATCTTCTGTATGTCGGGATGTTTGTACTTCGGGGTCCCAGTAATTTTGATTACCCAGTTCATTTCCCAATATTGTATTCCAATGAAAAACAATTAAAGAGGGTTTGAACAAATATTCATCCATCAATCGGTAGAGTCGGAAAATCCTCAAAAACCTTCGTTCGAAAGAGACCCACGTCCTCAAAAAGTTCAAAAGCTTTTCACATAAAAAAAATTTGCTGATCGATGCTCAGGAATCCCCAGCTGGATTTCATTTCTCTGCTGAGTCAGGCTGTGATGCAATACCCGAAATTCATTTCTTCCTGTCCTTTCTTTTTTTTTTGCAGCCCTTTGGAGCGTGTTGATCTGGATGGTGGTGAGGTCGGTGCTGACGTTGGTCGCGTCCTTGATCCTCATCATCGGCGTCCTCAAGGTACCGCAGTACTTCCTTGGCCTTGGCAATACTCGACAGTCTTTCTTTTCATTACTGTACTGTTTCTGTTTTACTTCGTTTCAACAGGAGAGGAGGCTGTTGATGTTGCCATGGCTGCTCGTGAGTGCAGTGTCCATCGGTGGCTGGACAGTGTCGGCCATTGTTCTGCCACTCGGCCTGGCCTCCATGGACTCGGCTTCCCAGGGAGAAGGAGGTACTTTTTTTCCCTCTTGACTTATTGAAAAATGAAAAAAATGTCGGTAATGCAATTTTTCCTGGTGCTCGGAAGCGGTGTCGAGGAGTTTCCAGCCCTCGATTCAAGTTTCAAAGCGGGGGGCTCTTATATTCTGGGTTGATTTTCTTTTCGAATCGAGTTGAATGAGCAAGGAATTCAAGAGGATGAATGAATTACCTTTTTCCCCTGCTGAGAACGGAAACAATCGACACATTCGTCGCGAGACAAAGAATATGAAATGCCGAGGAGTCGAGTTATCCTATTGAGAATCACAAAGCAAAAGTTCTTCTTCAATGTGTACGAAAGTTGTCCGACTTGGACGCGACCTTCGCTATTGCCAGAGTAGGCGTGATAGCAAGAAAAAATAAAAAGAAATAAAACGAATCATGACATAGCCCATAATGTTCTAAGATTCTGGGAATTTTATCGCTTAAAAAAAATTTTCCAATTTACTGCACGATGATACGTGAAAAATTTCCAGTGACTGCCAGAGTTCTCAACCCGTGTCGCAGGATGCTAAAAATTTCTCAGTTTAGCTGAGAAAAAAAATTGAATTATTGTTTTTCACCCATTTTTCATATTTGTTGAATTACGGTTTAAACGGCAAAATTCAATTTATTTTAGCTAGCTTGTCGAATTTTCAGCTCCCTGTGCATGGGTGAAGAACTCTGGCTTCAACTGGAAAGTTTTCATTCATCATCGGGCAGTGAATTGAAAGGAAAAAAATTCGAATCCGAAAAAAGTTTCCTTGGGACATCATGGGCTCCGTCATAAAAATGTTTCACAATGAAAAATCCTCTAAAAATATCAGAGGTCGCATCCAACTGCGACAACCTTCGTACAGTATTTTGTAAACTCGTATTTTGTTTGTCATCTCCACAATCATTGGAGAAAATGTAATGCATCAGCAGATTAATTCGTCACTTGAATCAGCGGAACGCTTCTTATTATTGTGGGCAATAATTTCATTTCTCTCACTCAGGAAACAAATAAAATTATTTCTTTCAATACGATTCAAAACTCTTTCGGCACTGCCGTAAAATTTTGCCATCCGTTCGTTTTCCAGATAAAAACAGCTTAAAAACATGTCTCGGAATTTAAAAAAAAAGTTTGTTTCACGGGTGGAAAGAAAACAGGATTGAAAAGGAACGAAAAGCTTCCCGCATATTCAAACAGCTGTCTTATGGAGTCACAATTTGCCTTGTTGGACTTTGCTAAGCTATTGACAGGCTTTAGCCTTTGCTAGATAAAGTACCATTCCCTTTAAATTTAGTATGTTCAGACACAGTACTTTTCAAACTCGAACCTTGGCTTTGTCTTAGCATATTTTCAAGGCACAGGATTTCAGAGTGCTGTATTTATGCAAGTACCATGCCCACTATTTTTATTTTTTTTACAAAATTCACAAGAAAAAGCTTGGTGTGTATCTTATGCCAGTAGATTTTGGTGCATGTCAGACTTTAGTCAAAAACGGATCTAGGAAAAAAATCCTACAGAGGGAGGATTCTTCAATTGTGAATGACTCAATCAAATAAAGTATTAGTTAAGCTTATACAGTATTTTCTTTAGGAAAGGAATCTAGAAATAAGCACATCAAATTTTAACCTGAAGAAAGCAATAAGATTTTTTTTTATCTATAAGTTACATAAAAACATATGAAATTGAATAATCTTAAGCAAATTCTTCATTTGCCTGAGCTCACTGGAAAATTTTATTGAAGGAAAATTTGGGCTGTGCATCTTAGGGGGATCTGTATTTTTGTTTAAATTTTATCCTAAAACCTGGGTGTGCATTTTTAATGAAAGCTTGTTATAACTGAGTGAATATGGGGCAGTTGAACCTCTTCAAGCTTAATTGGGTTAGACTTGAAAAATGTGATGAGAGTTTCTGAGTTAGGGAAGATGGCAGCATTTTTGTTGGTTAATCAATTTAAATAATCCTCAAATGGAAATTCTTTCTTGGATGCCCTACCCGCAAGAAGTTGCCAAATCCAAAATAAAAATTCAATTTTGTTCGGGATCAGTGGTTCTCAAATTTAGTCACAGTTTAATATAGCACAGCCCAGGAAAACCAATTTGCATCACCAAACGCGTCAATCACATGTGCTTGTGAGGTGTAAATTGATGTGTGAAATGTCATGTTCAGTCCACCAGTAGAAAGACGCAGACTGGGACATATTGTAGAGAAAGTGAAGTTTATGCAAAAAAATCATTTCATTTTTGGCCATGAAAAAGATATGTCAGATGACGCATCCAAAAAGGATGCGTCATTGATTTGCATTTTTGTGCGTTTTTCAGGTCTGTCTGGAAGGGTCTGCAAGTACATCTAGTAATACAGTAAATGAAACAGAATTGGTAATTACTGTATATAAAATAATTGTTGATGATGTGTTCAATTTTCCAATACCCTTAAGGATAATACAGTCAAACCCTGATAAGATGCCAACATTTGTCCAGAGCAATTCGGACGGTTTGAAGGGGTTGGCGGTTTATCGAATATAGCATTCTAAAGCATTTGATCAAAAATACTTGATTTTCCTTCAAAATTAATGGAAATACAAGTTTTCCAGAAACTTCAGTAATTTTCCAAAGAGTATTGCTGTGATTTATGCATTATTCCTTCAGAAAATTTATTTTTCTGTATCAATTTATTCAAATTTTAAAATTAGGTCTATATATTGTTCAAAGTTTTTGAAAAATGAAGATTGTCATTTAGTTTTCTTCTTACCAATACAAGGTCCTGGACAGAAAATATAATTTTACCCCAATGTTGGCGTTGTAACCAAGGCAAAACTAATACAAAACAGCACTTTTATTTCATCACTAATGCTGGCGGTTGGCGTCTTATCGAGGTTTTCTATGGCATTTAGTATTGAGGAGATTTTTTACATTCAAAATGTTGGCGGTTGCCGAGGGTGGCGCTTTATCGGGGGGCGTCTTAACGTCATAATTATTCATTCAGTTCTCGAAGAAGGCATTGAATGTGATGGCAAACTGCTGAGTAAGGACAAAGTTACGTTGCCTCTTGCAGTCGAATGACAATATTCACGCGGTAATGAGATGCGTGCAGCATGCAGCAGAGAAATGAGGACGAAGGTTGCCTCGATTCTTTCCGAGTAACAAAGCTGCAATTTTTAAAATTTTCTAAAAAAAAAAAATTGCACATAGATGATTTGCACGCTTTCTCACGCTACTGATATGATTCAGCCGGAAATATTCGGCCCTGCTTTTCAAAAGTCAAACCTCGATAAGCCGCCACCATTTGTTCGTGAGTTTTTTTTTTATTTTTTGGCGGTTTAATGAGGTCCGTCGTGGTTTTTCAAAAAGCTAAAATAATACGAAAATCCAGCGTAATGGAAAAAAATCGTATTATCTTAGAAAACATTCAAAATAACCCTGGGATGCGAAAATTATATCGTGCCTATGTTCCCAAAGATGTAAATCATGTCATATTTGTTTTTGTTTTTAATTGGAAACCTCTCACAGAAATTTGTATTTTGTTGGCGGAATATCAACAAAAAATTAACTAGAAGGAGCAGATTTGAATCGTCAATCATTTTTGCGGATGGCCTTTTGACGGGGTTTTGAATGCTAATATCATGAGTGATCATTTATTTTTCAAAATAAATTGTCAGTTGCCGAGTGTGGCGGCTTATTTGGGGCATCTTGATTGGGTTTGACTGTGCCAAAGATGACACCTGGAAAGAAAGATTTAGGAAAAAAAAAGAAAAATAAATAAACTTAAAAAAATAATATCAAACGTCCTGCCTATAGTTTGTGACTTATTGAGAAATCATACTCTTCCGCAAAAAAAAAAAACTGAATACATTTGCTCATTTATAGAAGTAATTTCGATCGATCTGACAAATTTTTTCAGGTTTCATGGAATTAATTGAGAATATTAACTTCTGCAGGATGGACTGGACTATTTTGGAGGAATTTTCAAATTTAAATTGTCCAAAAAAGGTCAACAACTGTTCACTTTACAACATTCAGGTTTTCATATTTTTAATTCTTGCGCAATAATGGCATAAGCCTCTCGTGTGCCAAGTTAAAATTTTTGTTTTCGAATACCTGAATTCAAAATAAAACTTGCCTGATGGGAAAATCATAATTCATTTCCCCCTCTTTTTTATTTGGCTCGTAGTGTATGTGATATACACACGTTGTTATTTATTCAAGGTTCAGCTAAGCTTCAAGTGTGATTTGTAGAAATTTGATAAGTCCGTCGAAATGGAATCGCTGTTTGATTTTTGAGCTATATTCATAAAAACTCGAGCAGGGTTAAGGACAAATCTTGACTGAGAACAGAAACCTGACATCGTTGGATGACGAAAACAGTTTCCCAACTGCTCAAGCCTCTTTTGTTGTTGTAATTGCGATAATGGTTGAGAGCATCATTCGGCAGAATTTCCCACGAGAAAAAAAATGCTTTCAATTGGGCCACGAAAATCTGACATCATTCACTCGTAGCTTGTTAAAAAAAATCGTATAAATAATGACGATGGCTGTTCATCCATGAACATGTACCGTTCATCCAAATTAGATTTTTTTTTTCCTAGAGAAAGAAACTCGTGGGTCTTTTGTTGTTGGTTTTTGTTGAACGTGGGGCAGTTTCCTGGTGGAATATAATCACCATTTCCCGAGCTTCCTGGACTTTATCTCAGCTTTCGGAACGGAAGAGTTGTAATTTCTTAAATAAGTGGAAATCCTTGTATTTTTTCAGATGGATTCGGTCCTTTGTTCATCCTGGTTGTTGGAATCATCATGAGCATGGTGGTGGTCGTGGGAACCTTCATGTTCCTGACGCCTTTGTCGCACTACCAGGTGAGACAATCCCGGATGTCCTGAAGAGAACCCCGTCATCTTCGCTGAGAGAAACCTCAGAAAATGGCATTAAATTGTATAACTTGCAGTGGGATCCCAAGAATTGGATTTAATTACTTCTCAGCCGTTATACAAGCGTCGGAACATCTACAGGCCAACTAAAAATGCAAATCTTGTGCTGTTTCAATTATGATCTTTTCCACAATTTTGATTTAAGACTGTTGTCGTTGTAAAGTTAACAAACGACCGGACTGGTTAAAAATCGTGGGACGCTGTCCCCGTCTCTTGAGACTTACATTGACTTTTACAAAGTGAATAGTAAAATGTCCTTTAACATTTCAATTTTTAAAAATCTGGAGAAAATATCCAAGAACCACATAACATAATGGGCTATGTAATAATTTTTCCTTTTCAGTCATACATGTGGTACCTTGCAATTCAACCTCTTGCAATTTGAATGTCCTGAAATTTGACAGTTGATTTTTCAGGGAGGTTGACTTGCAATTCAACCCTTGCCCCTCAATTTGACCTGCTTTGGCCAATTTTTTGTGTTTTTTTACTGATATTTTTCAACTTTAATGAAGTGCCTTGCAATTTGACTGCTTTACAAATCAACCCTCATAGTTTGGCAAAGGATTAGGGTCAAATTGTGAGGTACCGCGTGTAGCTTTACAGTATTCTGGAAATAACCATCCCAGTCACCCCTTTAACCACGTGTGACCCCTATAGAAACATTAAAGTGGGTCACTGGGACGACACGTGGACTTCACATGGTTTCAAGAAGACAACGTGTACGTATAGGGACTACACGTGGTTAACACACAAGACGCCAGGATTACTCAGGGTCACATTTGTGAACAAATAAGTTACACCAAGGTTACAGTTGGTGCATTTGTGTGATGCTCCTGTTATTTCACATTTGTGCACCAAGTGTAGCTCTGGAATGGTAGCAAAATTTCCTCTACAGGAGTGCATGCTTGTAACCCCAGAATATCCCATATGCACCAGGTGTGACCCTGGTGTGCACCTGCAGTGGGGTCACAGCAAAAATAGCTCCCCACTTGGGCAATGTAGTGCCCAAGTGGGACCCACAGATACTGTAGTACACAGTGCAGTATAATACAGTACTGCAATAACTCAAGTCTATGTTTTTTTTCCTCTTCCCGCAGGTCCTGAGCAGCTTGGAATCCCTCCGGCATGGAATCGAAGCCAAGTCAGAGGGGTTCCGGAATGCCAACAATGGCCACGACCCAACAATGATCCCGCTCACCGACATGGAGCATGCATAAGACCCCCCACGACCCTCTGGACAAGTTCGACCCCACCAAACCCCCCTCCAGTCCCCACCAACGCTTATGAGTCCCCACCCTGTGCTTCAGAGTGTCTGAATGGAATCCTAGGTCAACTCTCACTGCTGTTAACTGTCTGCTTGGAGTCTTGGTGATGGCTGGGGGTCGGGTGTGCGTGCCAAACTCTGCTGACCTGTGCTGCAATGGGTGCATTCAAGTTCAACTGCGCGGTGCCAGACCGAGACTTTTTTTTTTTCTTCCCCGGATTTCGAGGGTTCCTGAGCGGAGCTCGAAACCAGATTCCAGTCAATATTTCAGGCCAGATCGACCTCAACTATATTCTAGGACGAAGCAAACAGAGCCAGTGTGTAATACGAAAGGACAAGATTTGTTGTTGTCAGGAAATCAGCCATGATGAAAGCGGGGGAAATGCGATCGGGTCTTGATGTGAATGATACATTTGTACAGGATGCCTCGTGCAGCGCCACCTGGGAGAAAACAAAGAGCTGGAACGAGGGCATTGGCCGCCAGAGGGAAGCACAGTCTTCTTGAAATACTGTATTGTTGTTTGTGAGGAGCTCACTATAACCTGGTGCACCAAGTATGGAGGAACAAAAAGACACGTAGACCCATGACTCAAATCGTAAAAAACGTTAGTCTCACAACTCTAAAAACGTAACTCACGAACTTTATATGTATATTCCAGAAGGTTTTAAGGCCTAACGTCATTTCTTGTATCATTGTGAGTGTTCCTCAAGTTCATCTTCTGGTTTCAGCAGTGTTATTCATATGTATTCAGCCCTTTCACACTAGAAACGTTTTTAAGCAAGATAAGTAATCACACTTATTGATTGTGTGACATTGACATTCTTGAGAAGAGCAATATACAGGATTCTAAGTATGTAAGACTGATCAAACCTAGGCTGATTGTCAAACAGGCTCAATTGCCATTATCATACAAAATACTTTGGATCCCACTGAGCAAGAAGTTCTGTGTTTCCCCCAAAACTAGTCCAAATTTAAAAAGAGCTTCCATGCTAATGCAAATTTGACTTTTAAAAATTCAGGTTATCCTTGATAAATCCACACAGGTCCAATGTACTGACATTTTCTGGACCTTTGTACTTATAAGACCCTCTAAGACCTTTCACTTTTTTTATAGTTCTACCGGACTGACTTCATTTTATGTCATGTACATTTATTTTCATGAAGATGACATAAAGGTGTTTTGTCCTTCGTGTACCGGGGAAGCAATTTGGAAATTAATAAGATTACATTTAAGTTATTTGGACTGGTTTCTTGTTTTTCTGGGCATTGTTCATCAAGAGATTGATAAATGGTAATTTAGCGTATTTCATGTGTATTGTCAATTACCACGTACCCTGGAGTAAGAATGGCACCTTGATTTTTTCGCAGAAGGATCACCCAAAAACCAATAATCTTGTACGTACTCCAGTATGTTTTGCTGTAAATTCATCCTCTTCCAATTATAATTTGTAACAGCATGCAACCAGGACATATCTCATACAATCACATGATCAAATCCAATGGGGCCAACAACATTGGGATATACCAAAAAATCGATAAAGTTTCAACAAAATAATGGAGCAGCAAAATGTGCGCATTTGATAGTTTTTTCCGAACAAAAGAATTGACTTGACTTTGGGCTTGCCTACAATGGCAGCAACAACAACTGTCAAAGAAATGAAAACCACTACGAATAGGATCTTCCTGTAATACAGTACAGTACTGTATCGCCTTCCGAAGAGAACATTTGGTCGTTGGTGCGTTCCGATTGAAATTTGCAAGAACAGTGACACCTATATGCCAGCATTCAAAAAACTAGATTGAGAGTGTTTATGAAAAAACCTAGAGGTCAGGCTAAGGCAAGGCAGAAATTCCCATCTTTAAATTGCCCCTTGTGGGCTGCAGCAACCCTGGCAAATTGTCATACTTTCTTACAGCACTAGCAGAGCTTTTTTGAGTTTCTATAGATACTTTGGCCATAGTTTAGTACGACACTGTCTCACATTTTCCAGACACAGTAGAGAATTCTAGAAAAAAGTCCAGGAATCAACTGAAAATGTTTGGGACGAATACGAACTGTTGAAAGTATTTAATGAAAATCTCATGCCGGTATTTTTTTTAATAAAATACAAATTCGATTCCATTCTTCCCACTGCATAAAAATCGATGCAAATGAATTTTTCAATTTACTTCATTCGCCAGCAGCAGAGGACATTTTGAGAAAACAACGAATCTTTAAAGCTGCGCACATTTTGGTGTGCATGCATTTTTCAAAACCTTTCAAGCGGCATATCTCACAAAACTAATGGGGCCAACAACATTGGGATATACCAAAAAATCGATAAAGTTTCAACAAAATAATGGAGCAGCAAAATGTGCGCATTTGATAGTTTTTTCCGAACAAAAGAATTGACTTGACTTTGGGCTTGCCCACAATGGCAGCAACAACCACTGTCAAAGAAATGAAAACCACTACGAATAGGATCTTCCTGCTGTAATACAGTACAGTACTGTATTGCCTTCCGAAGAGAACATTTGGTCGTTGGTGCGTTCCGATTGAAATTTGCAAGAACAGTGACACCTATATGCCAGCATTCAAAAAACTAGATCGAGAGTGTTTATGAAAAAACCTAGAGGTCAGGCTAAGGCAAGGCAGAAATTCCCATCTTTAAATTGCCCCTTGTGGGCTGCAGCAACCGTGGCAAATTGTCATACTTTCTTACAGCACTAGCAGAGCTTTTTTGAGTTTCTATAGATACTTTGGCCATAGTTTAGTACGAGACTGTCTCACATTTTCCAGACACAGTAGAGAATTCTAGAAAAAAGTCCAGGAATCAACTGAAAATGTTTGGGACGAATACGAACTGTTGAAAGTATTTAATGAAAATCTCATGCCGGTATTTTTTTAATAAAATACAAATTCGATTCCATTCTTTCCACTGCATAAAAATCGATGCAAATGGATTTTTCAATTTACTTCATTCGCCAGCAGCAGAGGACATTTTGAGAAAACAACGAATCTTTAAAGCTGCGCACATTTTGGTGTGCATGCATTTTTCAAAACCTTTCAAGCGGCATATCTCACAAAACNATGAATTTTTCAATTTACTTCATTCGCCAGCAGCAGAGGACATTTTGAGAAAACAACGAATCTTTAAAGCTGCGCACATTTTGGTGTGCATGCATTTTTCAAAACCTTTCAAGCGGCATATCTCACAAAACCTTTTTCCAGGATTCGAAGATTGCCCATATAGTTTCACTGGTACTCGTTTCTCTGGGAAATATTTCTCAGCATAGTCCCTCTTTTTATCTGTATCTTTACTTATTTTTTAAATCATTCGAGTCACTGGGAAAGTGAAGGTCGGACTCGGTAAAACCAGGCTTGAGAATTGTCCGAGTGATTGATTGATCTCTGGTCTTGTGGACTTTAATCGGAGGTTGTATCTTTACTTATTTTTTAAATCATTCGAGTCACTGGGAAAGTGAAGGTCGGACTCGGTAAAACCAGGCTTGAGAATTGTCCGAGTGATTGATTGATCTCTGGTCTTGTGGACTTTAATCGGAGGCGGACATAATTTATTGCCGCAGTCCTGTGGCGGCATTATTTTCATCAGTGGCGTACGTGACACAATAAGGTATACCTTTTCTCAATTACCGAGACAATACACAGGGTTTTTTGTGATGAACCACATGTCCAGAAAAAAAAAATCCGCATACTTTTCAGGAATTTGAAACGGGATTAGAATTACTCATGTATTCCAGAAAACTTTCCACTTCCTCAAAATCTCAGGTAATTTGAATGAGGTGATGTATGCCGCATTCTGAATAAAATGTATTTCAATTTCCTTTGAAAAATCATCAAAACATATTGCGAGTACTGTATATAATGAACAGCGTGTCTGTCTAAGCTTGGGAAATTCATGGGATTTTTGAGGCACCTGGAGTGCGTATTTTTACTGAAATATTGTTGGCAAGACTGACGGTGGACTGCAACCTCAGAACGACGCCAGAGAGGATTGCAAAGGTTTAAGCCCTTCTTGTGTTGTTTTCAACCTGCTTTGTTTACCGGGTACCTGTTCATCTCCCCAGTGTGTCCAGAGAAAAATGAAAATACAGTGAGACCCCCAGATGCGGACATAATTGGTGTATCAAGAGTGTCCCTATGTCAGATTGTCCCCAAGTCGAATCTTGTTTTTCCATAGACTTACATTGTATAATTTTTAGTTGATGTTTTATGGAAGAAATATTCTTCAGAATTTCATGAAAAAAATGTTTGCCACTTGAATTTGATTCAATGAATATCTTTTCAAACCAATAAGATTGTATCTTTACTTATTTTTTAAATCATTCGAGTCACTGGGAAAGTGAAGGTCGGACTCGGTAAAACCAGGCTTGAGAATTGTCCGAGTGATTGATTGATCTCTGGTCTTGTGGACTTTAATCGGAGGTGGACATAATTTATTGCCGCAGTCCTGTGGCGGCATTATTTTCATCAGTGGCGTACGTGACACAATAAGGTATACCTTTTCTCAATTACCGAGACAACTATACACAGGATTTTTTGTGATGAACCACATGTCCAGAAAAAAAAAATCCGCATAATTTTCAGGAATTTGAAACGGGATTAGAATTACTCATGTATTCCAGAAAACTTTCCACTTCCTGAAAATCTCAGGTAATTTGAATGAGGTGATGTATGCCGCATTCTGAATAAAATGTATTTCAATTTCCTTTGAATAATCATCAAAACATATTGCGAGTACTGTATATAATGAACAGCGTGTCTGTCTAAGCTTGGGACATTCATGGGATTTTTGAGGCACCTCGAGTGCGTATTTTTACTGAAATATCGTTGGCAAGACTGACGGTGGACTGCAACCTCAGAATGGCGCCAGAGAGGATTGCAAAGGCTTCAGCCCTTCTGGCGTCGTTTTCAACCTGCGTCGTTTACCGGGTACCTGTTCATCTCCCCAGTGTGCCCAGAGAAAAATTAAAATAATTGGCCCCATGATAATTAACCACGGAAGAGAAAATCAGGCTGCTCGAAAATGCCGTAGGTCCGAAAACCTCGCCGCGTCCAAAAATCTCGCAGGGCCCAAAAATGATTTTATACACTGGAGAAAGCTTCTCTGGGCATTCGGCAACCAAATCTAGTAAAGGTGGGAATCATTTTGTCAAAAGTCTGATTACAAAATTGACCACTTATTCGGTAAAACTTCAAATTCTATCATGCATCATGACGTTTCAGGAAATTTTAAGATTGATATCCAGACATATCCAGGAGCATAGGCAAAGTCGCAGCATTTTGTCCAATTCCCTGGTTTTATTTTTTAAATTGTTCAGAAGTGTGGTATCTTTATATGATTTTGAAAATATTTGACTAAGAGAGCTCATGTGATACATTTTGTTTAATTCTAGGATAGCAGATAGGCAACTTTCCATTTATCTCGAGGCAAAGGAAGGGTTTATCTGAACAGAGGCATATTTAACTTCAACCAAAGGTCACAAAAATGTGCCTGGGTTGCAAAGGCCAAAGGTGGGAAAAAATAAGTCAAGAGTAAACCCTTTT